TTGTAGAACCATTCCTGGGTGATCACCCGGGCGACCGTCTGGGCTCGTTGATCCCTCGTGGGTACAGCGATAGTATATTTCGTAAAGACATCCGTCAGGACCAGCACGTTCTCAATCCCATTACGGGTTGGCTCGAGCACGGTGAAGTCGAGGGCCAGAACTTCATTTGGTTGTGAAGCGAGCAGATGGCCCATATAGCTATGAGGCACCGGGGCAGAAGCCTTGGCCATTTGGCACCTCCACACACTGCTGTACCCACTGCTTAACATCGGTCGACATTCGAGGCCAGTAACACCGCTGGCGCACCAAGTCAAGGGTTCGGTCAATGCCCTGGTGCCCATGTTCCTGATGGAGTTGTTCAAGAGTCTGTTCCCTTAGGGCTGCTGGCAAGAGGAGCTGGAGAAAACCTTCTTGACCATCCGGTCGAAAGACCGGCGGGTAGAGTACTCCTTCCTCCTCAACCAACCGGTCCCACTGCTGGAGAAGGATTAAGGTGGGCTTCGAGAGGCGGCCGCGCTCGTCCTGATTTGGCCGCGCTTGCCTTCTCCAAAAGGTAAGGAACTCCCCCAGACAAAGGTCGGTCTCTTGCAGCGCACCCATATCCGCACTAGAGCGGCTAGGGAAGACTGCCATCAAGGACTGGGTGCCCACCAATGGCCCCGCTGCTTGTTGAAGCGCCAGCGGGACTGTGCTGCCAGGCAATACGCCTGCTGTCATGTCAGCCGATGTCAAGTACTGCCTGGACAGAGCATCTGCATTGCCATTGCTGCGTCCAGACCTGTACTTGATCTCGAAGTCAAAGGCAGCAAGTTGGGCAGCCCACCGGTGCTCCAGGGCTCCCAGTTTAGCGGTTTGCAGGTAGCTCAGCGGATTATTATCGGTAAAAATCACGCACTTATGCCCAAGCAAGTACTCCCGAAACTTTTCGGTCAGGGCCCACTTGAGCGCAAGCAGTTCCAACTTCATAGAACTGTAATTGGTCATATTGCGCTCAGTGGGCCGCAAACCACGGCTCGCATAGGCGACAGGCCGCAGGCCATTCTCAGTCTCTTGCGAAAGTACTGCGCCAAGCCCGCTGAAGCTCGCATCAGTTTCCAAGACAAAAGGCTTGGAAAAGTCTGCATATGCAAGCACAGGGGCTGAGGCCAACTTTGCCTTAAGGTTCTCAAAACTGGCCTCGCACTGTTGGGTCCATAACTCACCCAGAGGTTGTCCAGACCCTCTTTTGGTTTTGGTCCCACCAATTGCCGCCACTAGCTTGTGGAGTGGTGCGGCCACTTTGGCAAACCCTTCCACGAAGCGCCGATAATAGCTGGCGAAACCGAGGAAGGATCGCAGCTCGGTAACGTGCTGAGGGCGCTTCCACTCCGCTACAGCCTCGATCTTAGAAGGGTCCGTAGAGACACCATCTTGGGAGATGACATGCCCCAAGTATTTGACCTTCGGTTGGAAAAAGGAAAATTTTTCCAGTTTGGCCTTTAAGCCTTCGTGTTGGAGACGGCCCAAAACAAGGTCCAGCCTCTCCACGTGCTGGGATACGGAGGATGAAAACACAACAATGTCATCGAGATATAACAAAAGCGACTGACACTGTTGGTCCCCAAACAATCTCTGCATCAAGCGCTGGAAGGTACTTGGAGCATTGCACAACCCGAATGGCATTCGATTGAACTCGAAGAGGCCAAACGGGGTGCAAAAGGCAGTTTTTCCCTTGTCCTGTTCCGCCATTGGGACCTGATTGTACCCGCTGGCCAAATCGAGGGTTGAAAACCAGCGGGCACCCGACAACGCGTCCAGGCTCTCCTCAATGCGAGGTAAAGGAAAGGCATCCTTCCTGGTCCTGGCGTTCAGAAGGCGGTAGTCCACGCAGAGGCGAAGGCTACCATCCTTCTTACGAACCAGGACTATGGGGGAGGCATAAGGACTGCAACTTTCCCTGATTACCTGCGCCTCGAGGAGCTGGTTAATATGGGCCTTAACCGCCTCATACTCCGAAGGTGGAATGTGCCTGTAGCGTTGCCGAATAGGCACATGGTCCAGCAAGGGGATCTCGTGGGTGATCAAGCCAGTGCACCCAAGGTCCCCGTCATGAGCAGCAAACACCGTCCGGTATCTCTGCAGTAAGGCCCTAACCTCATTCTGTTCCCCGGGAGCCAGTGCCGACAAGTCCACGGCCTTCACTCTGTCCGGTTCGATCCCCGCTGCTGCCTGGGAGGACACTGTGGCTGTGACTGTGTCCACCTCCGTGACCCCTGCAGGGAGGCTCACTACCTCGGCCTTGCTTAAGGCTCCCAGACCAGTCCGAGGGTACAAGAGGGCATCGGCCTTGCCCACATTGACCACAGGGACATAGACCGTACCCCCCACAACTTGCAACAAGCACGGGGAGACGAGCAACCCAGCTGGAAGACCGGAGTCTGGTGGCTCGAAAAGAACAGCTCTGCCAGACAACTGCTCAGGGCAGGTGCTGGCTACAAGTTTCATGGTACCCCCTGGTATCCGCACGGCCCGCGGACCCCGGACTCTAACGGCGCCAGTAGCGGACTCTGCTTCACAAGCTTCAGCCTGGTGGTACTTTTGAAGGGCCTCAACAACCGGGCCTGGGGCTTGTGCAATGGCTGGTAACTCAAACAAAGAGGGGCCATAAGTCCCAAATAGTTCTCTATAGCAGCGACCTATCACATTCATCCCCAAAATACCCGGAACTGAGGGACCAGGGCCGGGGGGATCCCGCACCACCAGAATCCCACACGTAGGGATCACCTTCTCACACAGCGCCACGTCTAGCTCTAGATAACCAATGTATGGTATTTCGAGCCCATTAGCGGCTCGGAGCTGAAGCCAATGACAGGACCTCAGCCGATCCGGGCCCCACGGCTCAAAATGGACCCTGAAGAAACTTTCTGTGACAGTTGACACCATGGACCCAGTGTCTAGCAAACATGAGACGGGTACCCCTCCCATGCCCACCTTAAGGGTAGGGCAGGTGGCCATTAACCCCGACAATGCACTTGCCTGTGAGCCTGTGGACTCCCCTCCTGAACCTTGGCTCCCCAGTTCAGAGGGCTTCAGTTTCCCTGCTGGCCGGAAGCATGGGAAGGACCTGAGACTGAACTGGCTCTACCCCGAAACGGAACCCGCTCTCCCTCACACTCGCTGGCGTAGTGGCCAAGCTGTCGACACCTTCGACAGGTGATGCTACTCCGAGGTGGTGGACCACTAGCCCTTTGCTGTGGAGCCTGAAGAGCAGCCACAGTCTCAGTGAGCCGACTAAGCTGCTCCTGCTGACCCTTTAGCAGTTCCATCACCTCACTCAGACCTGGCACAGGGGCAGGTGGTGGCGCAGGTGGTGAGCGCATACCCCCACGAACCCCATACTGGAGGCCGTGAATCGAGGGGAGGGAGAAACTACGTTCACGATGAGCAGAGGGCATTCCCTCTCGCTCCCACTGGAGGGCTTCACTGCGTATCTGTAGCAATGTGGAGGTGGGACGTTCACGCGCATACCGCTTTAGCTCTCTACGTAACGCTCCGTCACTGACGTGCTCCATAAACTGGTCACGTAGCAACACCGCTTCGTTCGGCACACCCTCCGGTGTCGATTGTTTTACCTGCTCCATCAATAACAGGAGAGCTAGTGAGAACTCCTGTAGAGTTTCCCCTTCCTGCTGTCTCCTTGAAAAGAAAGCCTGCTGAAGGGTGACATATGGTTCTGTGCAGCCATAGAGCTCTCGGAGAACACTTAGGATTCGAGCAGGGTCTTCCTTGATTTCCACCGGGCGAAACCTCAACTCACTCCTAGCCTCACCTTCCAAGTGATCCAAAATAAAGAAGGCTTGATCCCTGCAGGACAGGTGTCTTGCACGCATACAAGCCTGAATCTCTTCCGTCCAATCATCCAATAGCATGCCAGACTTGCCATTAAACAGCGGACACTTTCGATCCCGGGACATCACCAACACCCGCTCATTGGAAGTAGCGTAAGCAGGGGAAGCCAAACCAGTGAGAGTGCCTGAAGCTTGGTTAGCTCCACTAGGGCCGGCTTGGGCCGGGGCCCTCTCCCGGAGAAGGCGCTCGTTGTCTGCCTTAAGCTGTAACAACTGCTCTCTGAGCTGCTGTAGCTCCTCCTCCATACTGGTCGTAACCACACACACCTCAACCCGCAGGCAAGGAATTAACTTTGATTATTGTTAACCGTAGGTTATTTTGGGTCCTGAAAAGGATTGCCGTTGTCTTGTCCAATTATCTTCAAAGTAAACGCATAACCAAAACAGATAACATATACAATTAATTTTACAAAAATAATAATAACCAAACCTCTACTTTATGTCCGATCCTGCCAGCGATCGCCAAATGTGGCAGGAGCAGTTTTAGGGATTTTGGAAATACCAACAACGCCACCCAGGGAGTAGGGCCCTGGGACCAGAATCACTCTTGATTTACCCACAGAATAATACCGCGCTAGGTTGGACATTAAAGAGAGGAGTGTTAATAAACTAGAAATTCCTTTATTTCAGCAACTGGTTAAAAAAGGCCTAGATGTATAAAAGATAAAATCTATAGGTTGGCACATTCAAATTGACACTGATTTTGGGACAGAGCAAAAGTCAAAAGCAACCAATTAACTTAAAGGCAAACAGTAGCAGGGAAATAAGTTGCACACAAACAGAACATACACAATACAAATGATAACCAAATCAAAATCATGCAAAGCAAACCAAGTCAAAACACTGTAATTAATAATAAGCAAAGAAGCAAACCAAGTCAAAACACTGTAATTAATAATAAGCAAAGCAAACAAAAATACATAAAGGAACATGCGAAAACAACATACAAGGCAGCGAGACTCACTGCAAACTGCAGCCTGTAAAGTGCGTGGTGCTTTAGTGCATTGGAACAAGTGCCACACCAGGCGTCAGAGGTGCCTGAAAGTGTCCTTTGTAAGTGGATACATAAAGTAACTAAAATAAATGAAGAGAGGACAAAACAACGGCCCTCCCTCACAGGGGGGCGGCCTGAGAGAAGCCGTAAGCCACACGCCTCGTTCCGGCGAACCGAGGTTGCGCGTACGCACGAGGAGCAAGAGGAGGGGAATGAGCACGGTGGAAAGTGCACGTTCCCACGCAGCTCAGGATCCGGGGAAGACCCCCAAACCGGTGCCGCGCCTCTAAGCGTGCACTCTGCGTACACACACGAGGGGCAGGCGGAGGAGGAAGGGACGAGAAGTGATACGCGCGCTCCCACACTGCTCACAATCAGGGGGGGGGAAATCCCAGACACACACCGTGCGGCTATAGTCTACACTCCGCCCGAGGGAGGGGGGAGGAGACAGCCCGGTCGCTCACGGCAGACAGACACAAACCTGAGTGAATAAGCCTGAGGTGCACGGAGGTCAGGGACCATGTAGCCCCGACCCGGTCCGGCGGCAGCACGACAAGACGCTGTCACAATGCCAAAAGACAGATACGCGTGTGCGCGCGCCACGCGCGCGTCCGAATTTAAAAGCTATGTTGGTGACGCCCACGGCGCACCTTGAAGGCAGCCACACCACCACACCAACATGCTACAGGTGTAAATATGTGACGCACTATTTGGCCCGAAGAGGAAGAAAGCGGCTCAAATCTGTTCATCTGCGACACTTCACTAAAACTGTTCTAGAACTATGAAACCATACCATGGAACTGGACTTACTCAGAAACTGATCGGGAAACCAGTCTTATTCCCACGATAAAAGACGCTAACACAAAGTTCTGATCTGTGAGTACAGTGCTACTAACTCGCCGTCTACTTCTGTGAACTAAATAATTAGGGTCTGAGTGGATTGAGGACACAGGGCTCGATGTGGTGGATTACCATTATCAGAAAAGTGTATTCTCAGCTCTGAAAAGTGTCGGCACTAGATCATTTATGGAATCGGGAGGGAAGCGTAAGTAACAATCGTACTTTCGAATTAGTTTAAGACTAATAAGTCCTTAAGTGGTGACTGGTTAAGTTTTAGGCGTCTGAGTAAGATGGTTAAGGTTAGGGTTAAGATGGGTTGGGGTTATTCTATGGGAATGGCTGGTTAAGTGTAGGCATGAATAGGTAGCTGTTGGTTATATTTACTTCTGCTTCCGTCCCGATTCCGTATATGATCTAGTGCCAACCAGTCTGGAATGACTATGAACCGGTTTACAGGCAGAGGAACAGACTCCTCTCTGGATCAGCTCGTTTGAGTTAATGTGACACGATGTAGTTACATGGCTTGTATTGTATACAGCTCAAATCTGGAACAGTCTTCCTGAATATGTGAGACAGGCTTCTTCTCTGACAATGTTTAAATCCAGGTTAAAAGCAGGTCTGTTTAGCTGTGCGAACTGAGGGATTTTATATTTACTCTTTTTAATGTGCTGTGATTATTTATGATTTAATTGTTGTTTGTTATTGGTTCTCTTATAAATCCTTTATAAGAGACTCTTTATAAATATGAATTATACGTTTTTTCTTCCTCCCACTCCTTTACGAGTTTGAATAACGTACGATATTGTAATAAGTAATTGTAAATGAATGATTTGCTAGAAAATAATATGTAGTGACATTTGATAATGAATGTTTTATGTACATTGAACTCTGTCATGGTGTGGATTTTGTGATAATTTACTTATTTTGACGACTTTACTGTGTTTTTAGTTTGACTTTCTGTCCTGTTCCCCTGTTTGGTTGTCCGCCCCGCCCTGATGTGTTTCACCTGTGCCTTTGTCTATGTGTACCCTGTGTTCTTCCCATATACTGTAAATATTAACAGACGTAGTCATGGCTATCTCCGCGAGGCAGAAAAATGAGAAAAACACATTTGCGCATGCGTTAGCCACCACTAGCCCCGTTCATTTAATGAGTGCTTTCAAAAGTCCACAGCGGCTAAACTAGACTGGTCCCAAAAAAATACTCTCAGCATTGACACACATCTGGAACGTAGTGTTGAGCCAAGAGCCAACTTTTTGACCATCCTGTAAAGCTTATTTCAAGAGGAAAGAAGGCTGACTTCCTGTATCCGGTGAGCGTGTTTCTTGACTACTATCACTCTGCTCTCTGTTTGCACTAAACAAACACATTACAAATCCACGTATTGTACACCAAGCTAACTGTGTAAGCACTCCCAGTCAGCTGTACTGTAGCTGAGGTTTAGGTAGCGGTTGTTTGTCTGGTCTCGGAGTCTGTTGTGCGGGTCCGGATCCGGACTAGCTTAGCCTAGCCTAGCCGCTAACTCGCTACTCCTATGGCGGCTGCTGTCTCTCCCTCAATTCTTTTACTGCTCGAGTTGCCATATGGCGAGTCTAAACCCTGGATCCTTTTCTGAGGGTAGTGATAGATGTGTGAAGTGTAGTGTAGTCGTAGCTCTGGAATCCAGGGTCAGTGAGTTAGAGCTGCGTCTCCGAGCACTGGAGTCTCGAGCTAGCGCTAGCATTAGCTACAGCCAGGCCGTATCCTCAGGGACAGCGGAGCGCAGCTTTAGGGAAAGGCAGAGGAGAACTAGCGAGCCTAGCCTCCCAGCCCGTCCTCCGCAGCTGGGACAAGACCAGGATAGTGGGCTTTGTGACTGTTCGGAAAGGGCGACGTGTTGTTGGTAGTTTCCCCATTGGGCCTCCTCCTGTTAGCATTTACAATCGCTGGGACGCTCTGTCCGGCTGCGCCCCCGCGCGGCCGGGCGAGGAAGAAGGCCCCACTGAGAGAGCCGCTGAGAGAGCTGCTGAGAGAGCCGATGGAGTCGCTGATGCGCTGGTAATTGGCTCCTCTATTGTTAGAGGTGTTAAGATCCCAGGAGCCACTGTTCGGTGCTTCCCTGGGGCCAGGCTTGGTGATATTGAAGGGAATCTGAGGCTCATGATGACCCACAAGCAGCGTTTCCGTCGAATTGTTATTCACGCGGGTGGTAATGACGTTCGGCGGAAACAGTCCGAGGTGTTGAAGCTGCAAGTCGCCGCGGTGTGCAAGCTGGCTAGCACAATGGCCGACACTGTCATCTTCTCTGGGCCCCTACCTAGCACTAGCAGTGCAGAAGCATTCAACAGACACTCGGCTTTCAACCGCTGGCTGTCTGGCTGGTGCCCTCGAAGTGGTGTTGTTCATGTTGACAATTGGAGTGCCTTCTGGGGAAAGCCCGGTCTCATCCGCTCGGATGATATCCACCCAACGTTGGCGGGTACATCCCTTTTGGCTAAGAATTTGGCCCTGGCTCTAAACTGTTCTGCTCGGCTCAAATGACGATGCAGAACTGAGGCCCGGGTGCAGAGCTGCTCTGCCACAACCTCTGAGCCCCCATCTGTTCAGTTACTAGCCTCAGAAGCTAGTCAGACTGAAACTGTGTGTGCATGTGTGTGTGTGCCTGTGTGTGCTCAGTTACTAGCCTCAGAACCTAGTCAGATTGAAACTGTGTGTGTTCCCCGCTTGAAGTCTAAAGCACTATATGCGAGGAAATCTGACCTAGGTGTCAGACACAGTAACTTAATAAAAGTTCAGACAGACAGAAATAGTTCTAACAGTAGGGTTGTTAAATGTGGTTTAATGAACGTCAGATCAATCTCGTCTAAATCGCTTCTCATAAACGAACTTATTATAGACAAGGGCTTGGATTTGTTTGCGCTCTCGGAGACTTGGCTCCAACAGGACGACTACGTTAGATTGAATGAGTGCACTCCTCCGACGCATGTTAACTACCAGAAAGCGAGAACTACAGGTCGCGGCGATGGTGTTGCGATTATATCACACACCAACTTACTTCTTAGTCCCAAAACCAACAATGCTTTTCACTCGTTTGAAAACTTAACACTTTCAATCACCTGTCCTGGGTGGAGAAAACAAAAAGCGGTGCTATTTATAGTTTTATACCGACCTCCTGGTCCTTACAGCGAGTTCCTAACAGAATTCTCTGACTTCATTTCAAACCTAGTTTTGGAATGGGAAAACATAGTTATAACTGGAGACTTCAATATACATGTGGACGACAGCACTGACAGCTTAAACAAAGCTTTCAGCGCCGTACTAGATGGTGTTGGTTTTACTCAGAATGTCGAGGAACCTACTCACATTCATAACCACACCTTGGACCTTGTCCTGACCTACGGCTGTGATGTCTCCAATGTTGATATCCAGCATCAAAGCTCGTTGCTGTCTGACCATTTCTTGATCACGTTTGATCTCAATTTGGAGGACTTTCCTGTCCCGCAAGATAAAACCATAATGAAAAGAACCTTAAATGATAAATCTATCACAAGGTTCAAAGAACTAATACAGCCTATGTTGAATACTGCTGCAGGTGAACCTGTTCACAGCTGCTGCAGTCCCTCAGTCATTGACCAAACGGTGGACAACACTATGGAGTCTTTAAAATCTGCATTAAATGCAGCAGCTCCTTTAAAACAGAAAACTATTAGGATTAGATCATCGTCGCCCTGGTACAGTGTTCAACTCCACACTTTAAAACAGGACGTCAGAAAATTGGAGAGGCTATATCGCCACTCCCACTCGGAGCCTGTCCACAGGGAGTGGAAAGCAGGTCTCCGAAACTATAAGAATGCCCTTCGCAGGGCTCGAACTCAATACTATTCAACTTTAATAGAAGCGAATAAAAATAACAGTAGATTTTTGTTTAGCACCGTCGCTAAACTCACAAACTGCCATAGCGCAATCGAGCCTAAAATTCCAAGCTCACTGAGCAGTGTCGACTTTCTCCACTTCTTTAATAATAAAATTACATCCATCCGTGACAAACTGGAGGAGGTTGCTCCTGCTGTTAGTGGTGGACAGGCTGAAGCTGCATACGTGACTTACCACTTAGACTCTTCAGTGGGCCTCGATAAATTCATGGCTGTGAGCCAAGCAGAGGTGATCTCTGTGGTCACATCCTCAAAAGCCTCAACTTGCATGTTAGACGCAGTCCCGACATGGCTCTTCAAAGACATACTTCCTTTGATAATTGAGCCTATCGTAAATATAATAAACGCATCCATACAATGTGGCTATGTCCCACAAGCTTTTAAAACCGCGGTTATCAAACCCCTTCTGAAGAAAACAAACCTGGACCCAGAAATACTTACAAACTACAGACCTATCTCAAACCTCACTTTCATATCTAAAATCCTGGAAAAACTTATAGCTGAGCAGCTTTGCTGCCACCTGCAGGAAAATAATATGTTTGAAGTCTTTCAATCAGGATTCAGAGCTCATCATAGCACTGAAACGGCACTAGTCAAAGTCACAAATGACTTACTACTAGCTGCTGATAATGGACAAGTGTCAGTGCTTGTCCTACTGGACCTTAGTGCTGCATTTGACACAATAGACCACAGCATTCTACTGCAGAGGCTAGAATGTGATATAGGTCTTAGAGGAACAGCCCTTGGCTGGTTTAAATCCTATTTATCAGA